CTGCAGGCCAGCAGGTGAGCCACTTTGACTGCCTCTAACAAGTCCCCGCTTCTTCTGGACATGCTGCTGCTCTTGTTGCTGCTGCTGCTGCTGCTGCTGCTGTTGCAGTGCCCTCTGGTGTAGTGAGTGGCGCTGTGCAGGGTCTGGCTGTGTTAAGTGGTGTTGCAAATGATACAGATGGTGCCTCTGTTGCTCTTGCTGCTGCTGTTTCATGTAAAGGTTTCCTCCCAGATGCTGAGCAGGCTGTGTTACAGTATGCTGTGGATGACCCTGGGGCAGATGTAGCACCCCCGGCTGGTTCTGTTCAGGAGGTCCTTGTGGAGGACAGTGGCCATCTGTGGACCGAACTATTGGGCTCATGAAAGAGTTTGTGGAGAAGAGAGGGCCTCCGCCTTCAGAATTAATCCTTGTCATGACCGCTGAGGAAGTGGATGGCAGCTGTCCCACCATCATCTGGTTGTGGTCTGGTGCTTTGACATCCATATGGCTAACAGCATTAGCTGATGGAGGGCAAGGCTTAGGTCGTTTTCCAGGGTTTAACATTACTTCTTCTGGGGCCTGCCGCTTAGAGATGATCTTCACTTGCCGCTCACCCACACTAACTCCAGCCTGAGCCCTCATTAATGTAGTCTTTAAGGGTGTGTACTCATTTGACTGCGCAGCCCCTGAACAGGGCGACAGGGCATTGTTTGAGGGTTGGGATATGTGAGCTGAGGTCGCCACAGGAGAGGGGACTGACCCCTGTTGGCCAGCCAGACTAGGAGAGCCAGGATAGGGCTGGTGACTGGAGCTGGGCCTAATCAGGTTGTTAACACTGAGGCTAGCCACTGTGCCAGTCTGGGATGAGCTCTGAGACTGGGTCTGGGAAAGCGGCTGGGACTGGGAGTATGAGATGTTTTGTAGATGTCTGCTTGCATTAGGCCCACCGACAGACCCTTCACCAATTTGTCCTCTGACAGACACCTCAACAGCAGGTTTAACAGTTCCTGGGTCCATCTGCTTACTCACTTTAGCCTGTTGCCCAGTTGAGCCCCTTTCTTTACTAGCAGATACTGGTGGGGGTTTGGGGGTGTCCCATGTGGCTGCATTGGGATTAGCTGAAGCAGTGTTGTCCCCAGAGCAGCCTCCATTTCTCCTCCCAGGACTATCCTGCTCTAGCATGGCTAAGGCCAGCATCTCTGCCTGCTCAGATGTGAATGTAAATGTTCCAAAGGAGCCAGATGATGTACCAATACTTTGACCCTGGGGAAGCATGGATGCCACAGAGAACCCTCGGCCAACCCCAGCCCCTGTAGACATGGGAGAATCAGTCTGTCGGCTAGATGTCATAGGGTGCTCCATAGTTTGATCATCTAGGTTAGTGTATACTTGTTGAGAAAGACCGAAGTCCTTTCTTGAGGGAGTTTCAGAAGCCACTGCCACCAAGCCCTCTTTCTCTGCTGCTGTTGAATGCCTCTCCTCCTGAGCCTCTCTGTCCATTCGAGATGCCTGGGGTGGTTTGACTTCAGTGGGATGGCACGAGGAGTGGTGGAGAATATTCACGTCAGTCTGCTGTAATGGAGCTCTGGGAGTATTCGCTCTTTTCCTAAACTCTGAACTTGTAGTAGGGGCAGTAACAGAACTTTGGGCAACAGGAAACACTGGTGCAGGTGATGACAATACCACAGTTGTTGACACAGAGGATGAAGAGATGGACTGAGACTCAGGTTTACTACAAGGCAGGTGATCTTGGGCATGAGATCCCCTGGAACGACATGATGACGTTGGTTGGCTATTCTGATTTAAAGGTACTGATGCAGTTGCTGCTATACTGCTGGTGCAGACTGGAGTCAAACATGCAGTAGAAACAGTAGTAGAAGAGTATCGAGTCTCACTGCCAACTGCAGAGCTGACCACAGACCTGTTCTGTCTGGAAACAGCAGTGGTGGCAGCTGACTTACTTTGTGTTGTGCTAGTTGCTGTAATGGTGGTTGGCTGTTTAACCTCTGGAACTGACACTTTGGTTACAGATGAGTTGTTGCCAAGACCTACAGCTGGTTTACTCTCAATGGCCAAAGCTGCACTAACTGATGGCTTGACTGATGTTGCACTGACAGTTGTAACTGCAGTTGTAATACTACTAGTGTTACTATCTCTTAAAAGTGAGTCACTCTGTGAGGCACTGACAGAGCTTTTATTCTGTGGCTGAGATTGACTCAGTACAGCTGGCTCATTAGATGAACTGCATACAATCATTTTCTGTGTGCTCTGTGTTGAAGTGGCATTGCCTATAGCTTTAATGCTATCTGTAGTTGTGGCAACTGTGGTACAAGCCGGGTGAATGTCTGTGACTTTGACAGTTGAGGACTGTAAAACTTGCGATACTGTAACTTGAACTGTCTGGTTCTCTCCTGCAGCAGCTACTGGCTTGGCAGAAACAGCAACAGCAGGTTGTGCCTGACTGAGCTCCTTTTTCTTTGCAGGTTTAGTCCTTTTAGCTGCTGTTCTCTTTGTATTCAAAGTTGTGCGAAGCCTCTTCCCTGGAGTCTTAGAAGCATTAACCACCAGTCCTGGTGTGACTGGGTTCACACAAGGAACCTGTAGCTGCCGGGCAGGTAGCGTAAGTGTGGCTCCAGAGATGGGTGCTGCAGCAGGAGGCGACTGCTGCTTCTGCTGCACGACTGATAATTGAGCAGGTGGAGGCTGACAATTGCTCTGGCTAGATATGGTAATAGGCAGGCCCTGAGAGATGCTCTGGTTGAGACTGCTGAGGGCCCCTAAACTGTTGAGGGCCACATTAGTAGTTGGTTCCTCAGTGGTAGTGGGTTGGACCAGCTGAAGTGTACTCTGGCCACCCTGGGAGCTGGCTTTGTCAGAGGTCTTCACAGGCTGCAGGGCAAACACCTGGCCGTTCACAGTGATAGTCTGCGGTGTTGTAGGAACTGGTGGAGAGGAGGATGTCTGGGTGACCTGCAGAGAATGGTTCACTTGAGGTTGAACAGGGCGAGGCAGAATGTGCACCAGCTGCTTTCCTCCAACACTCTGTAAAGAAGTGGCAGACATTGGACTGCTGGTTGTGGGTATTTGAGTGGACACAGCAGGTACTGCAGCGGGCACAGCAGCAGGCACCATGCCAACTTGAGGATTCTGAGGGGCAGATGCAGCCTGATTGGGTGCCTGGATTATTACAATGTGTTGACATGGTGTCTGATTGGTTATTTCCTCCCTCACAACTGGCTGGGTAGGGCAGGCACTGGCCTGCTGCAAAATTACAACACTTGGATTGTTTGTGTTTTGTGGTGCTGTTACACCTGAAGCTGTTGCTCCAGCTGGGTTGACCTGAAGCACCTGCATGGTCTGAAGGAGAGGCAGCACGGTGGCTTGTGGCTGGGGCACCAGGGCTGGCTGAGGGAGAGACTGAGGCTGTGGGATGAGGGCTGCTGGAGGATGGGGAACCAATGAAGCTGGTTGAAGTACAGCAGGCTGGGGCTGTGACACAACAGCAGGGTGAGCCACCACAGCTGGCTGTGGCACTATGGCTGCCTGGGGAAGAACAGCACACTGAGGTTGGGGGGCTAAGACAGGCTGAGGCTGTGCCTGGTTTAGGACTGCTGGCCGTAGCTGGGGGGGTCTCTGAAAGGGCTGAGCTTGAATATGACCAGTAATGGGTGCCTGCTGTACAGGTACATGTGGCTGCATCTGTATTTGAATGGGATGGACAGAAGGTTTGCTGCCTATTGGACACACAGTCACCTGCTGGACAGGCTGGGTGGTGTTGCTGACCTCTGATGAAGGGAGACTTTGACAGACTGGCTGCACCGTGTTCCCTGCCATCTGCAGTGTTGTCCAGGTAGTTTGTGTGCTGCCAGCTGCCCCAGCCCGAAGAAGGGCTTGGCTGTTTGGGATAGCAGTGTAACTTACAGTCCTGATGGCAGTGTCCTGTGTGACCCAAGAGCAAACCTCTGAGGCTATTGTTCTAGTTACAGTTTGGGTAAGTGTGGGGTGGGTGGACACTGGCAGAGCAAGGCTTTCAGACTGAAGCTGTGGGGCTGAAGTCGTTGCTATGGTGAGGGTCTGGGCTGGGGCGGCAGGCTGAGCTTGCTGGGGCAGGGCTGTAGTGGCTGCAGGTATCTGAAGGGTGATGTAAGACACAGACGGTGGCAGAGTGGGGGCTGCAGCCGGTGTCTCAACCACACACTGCTCTATCATTCTCAGGCCTGGTGTAGACTGAGTGGGTGTGGCAGCTGACCCAGGGAGAAGTGCAGGGGTAGAAGAAGAGGTATTAACTTGCAGCAAGGCTCCATTAACGCTTAATCTGGCACTGGCATCAGATGGTGGCTGAAGAATTAATGTTTCAGAGGGCTGTTTCCCTGGGCTAGACTCTTTTCCTGCAGGGCACATCACATTACCGTTGGAATACACAATGATCCCCTTTGGGAGCTGGTGGGTGGGGGTCACTTTTGCCACTTTGGCACAGCGCTGTTTGCCCTTCCAATGGACAGTGGGGTCCTCCAGAAGGTTAATGTCATGGGCTTTGAGGAGCTCGATGTAGTGAGCACTCTCCTTCCTCAGTTCCTCCAACTGACGTCGCAGCCGACGGATCTCCTCCGCTGCACAGAAACCAAGCACATATAATCTATTCAGGACCCTTAGTAATCCTTTGACTCCAAGTACACATATTGCATGAACACACCTTCACAGCTCCAGTGAAAGTACAAGAAAATCAAAAACACTGAGCAAGGTATATAACGTTAAAGTTCACCTTGAATTTTATCTCCTCCTTCCAGAAGCATAGAATCATTTTGTTTCTTCAGTTCAGTGATGTAGCGAAAAGCCTGGTCCAATATCATGTTCTTACTCTGCAAACAAAAAGACAAAGGTTGTATATTAAAAAATGCTATCCAAATATAGACAGAAATCTCACAATATTATAGCAAAACAGTAACTTGTTTCTTACTTGTTTAAGTGCCTGGGAACATGGTAGAAGATTACCAATGCGGTTAATCCCAGCATTGATTTTCTCTTTTCTGTGTCTCTCAACTTAAAAAAAAAAAAAAAGAGAAAAACTTGTTAATGTAGTTAGATTTAAAGTGAACACCCTGATCACTGATTACTAACCAGCAAAGTTCTAACAAGACCTTAGCAGGGGATATTATTTTACCTGCATTGTGAGACTCTTTGTTTTTCTTCTTTCTGCAAAAGAAAATGAACAGTTTACATTTTATAAAAAACTATTCCCACATTCATTTATAGGTGCCCAGATAATTGGGTTCAATTTCAATAAAAGACATGAAATCTCAACCATTCTTACTTGGGTTTACGACCAGGTGTCTGAGTTTCAGTCATTTCTGGCATCCTGTCCTAACAGCTGCCTGTTTGATAAGGTACCAGTCAACACATTTAACAGCTGGACCCTAAATCCCTTCGGTGCCCGTCCTGCAATCAAAACATAAAGCATCCGGAAAGAGTATTAATATGAAGTATAACGTCAACAGTCAATTGTATAGCACCAAAGAAAATGTACGTAGATGCAATCACCTAACTGTAATGTTGTCATATAAATAAATACAGTAATAGATGGACAAAATACCTGTTATGCTACACTAAGCTTTCACCACTACTACAACTGGATGCTAACGAGCTAGTGTTGATTACCTAGCTTCACAGCTAACCTAAACTAATTTACCTACATATTACAGCATCATTACAGTGTATGTAACGAATTGCACAAACAGCTGTTTGTCCAGGCTTAACATTACAACGTCGACAGCAAACGATGACCAAAAAAATGGTCCCGTCACTAAACCAGCAAGAAACTAGCAACCTGAGCAATTACCTATTCAGTTAGCATACTGTTAGCTTGTTGGCTAATAGCTATCTTAGCTAACCGTTAACGACATAATTATTGAGCAAATCAGTGGTGGACTCATTCGCGTCCGAGCACATGAAAGGCTGCTAATGCGATGGTAGTTTCCACCAACCTCTAGCGTCGGCATTTTGGAGACTGTTGGTTCCCGTAAGAACTTTGAGTTTGGAAGCTAACTATTAGCTAGCAAAGCATTCAACTCAACTCATCTCTCAAAACAATCTCGATACACCTAACCTCGTGCAGAAAGGGGAGGGCTCTGAGGGAGCTGTCAGCCAATGGTATTCCAGATATGGGAGGTTCAGCCAATCACGACAAGTAAGCGCAACGAATGCGCCTACAAATACTGTAGTACATCAGCCTATGCAGCAAAGGATTGAAAATAAATGTTCAACCATATTTCTGTGTGTTGTTAACAACTTACCATGTAAATGAAGCAGACTAATACAACAAGCAAAATATTTACTGCAAATAGTAATTCCTTTATTTAGACGTTAAAAAGTCTTACAATATAGAGCTCCAGAAAAGATAAAATTCTTCAAAGAAAGGAAAACATGCGTATACTACAGTGGAGAGGACACAACTCTCCTTGCATGCAGAGGGGTCAGAGCTTCCTCTGGGTAATAGACTGTTAAAGAGATCATACTAAAACTTCCAATCTATCAGCTGAGCTTCAAAACCTAATGATGGTGTGTAACAACAGAAGCTGACTGAGGGCGGAAGTTTGAGGCGACCAATCTTGCAAGATGGCTACATAAGGTGCCAAAGGCGTTTAAGGTGTTGTGTCTCAAAACACTTCCACGTGTTCAGAGACATGCATCCTGACACACCTTCATTATAATACTTGAAAATAATGCCCAAATTCAATTCCAAACTGCCAATCTGTTATTCAGACATCCCCCACCAGACGAAGTGGAATGCCCTTCTTAGAAACACATTCAATACAATGATATTCTGTTTGGTTCCCTCATTCCTTAATATTTTCACACTTAGTAGTAAACCCAGGAGAACCTCTGAACCATTTGCCATCTCAATGTAAAAAATAAAAATAACAGAACAGTTGAGGGGGAATTAAATTAACAGGCTGGAAAATAAAGTAATTCAGAAATTAAGAGTGTTGACCACATCTTCCCACCACCACAAAACCGTTCAGCCTTCGTGATGTCCATACTAAGGGGATGCACTTCTGCTTTCCCCTCTGGACATATCAACAAACTGGTCATGAATCCCAGAGTTCAGGTGGTTAGGAAATAAGAGTTGTGTCTGTTCCACGCAACAACTCCAAGTATCACTCCAAACTGACCAGCTGGGACTGTGTGTGTGTGTGTGTGTGTGTGTCAGTGATGGTCTTTCAAACACTTTTACCGCTTCACACCAACTGTCTTTTTTTGCTCAACAGCATAGATATGCCCCCATTAGCTTGAATAACCGCATAAAAACAACTCAAACACAAACAGTATGATTTGCAACCACCAAACCCTCCACCGTGTCTAAAACTGTCTGAAGTTGTCAACTTTGTCAATAGGAGCACGTTTGGATTCTGAGCTTTTTTTTTTGTCATTTTCAATTAACTGTGTGAGGAAAGGGGAGCAATAAAATATGCAAAACTCAAAGGGGACCCCTTTGCAAAATAAATGCAGCAATTTTTATACTTGAAATTTGTTTTCTCTTTTTAGCGTCCTTTGAAGAAAGTGTTGAATGTGTCGACCCTGGGGCATTTGTCACAGTTCTGTTTCTGTGGAGGCGGGCACATCTGTGCTCTTTCCAAACACTGTGCCCCTACTCGGACTTTTGAAGCTCTCCGCTGGGGGGAGCACATGGACTGCGCAGGCTCTTCTGCAACACATGGGCATCCGCAGGCTCTATTCTCTTGTAGTAATTCTTTTTTGTCTCGATGATTTCAAAGCCAAACTTCTGGTAAAAGTCAATGGCTGACTCATTGCTGATCTGCACATGACTGTGGAGTGGAAACACAGGAATTTAGTTAGTGGTTAGCAAATTTAGAAAAGCAGTCATATTTAACAATTCAATTAATTATGTTTACACTGTTGAACAAAGAAAGATTTCATGTCTACCAACAAAAAGTGAAAAAAGATTTGATTAAACCATGTTAGAAATAACAGCTGCAGCCTTAGTTTATGCTACCATCCACATATATGTTGTACAATAAAACACTCACAGGTAAATGTTGTCAAAAGTGCCATCCTTCTCACAGATGTTTAGCACATGATTTAGCATCTTTGTACCTGGAGACAAAGGTAAAAACAAAATGAGAAAAAAAGAACACAAGATCACAAGGTATACTGCAGCAGGTTCTTGGGATGCAGAGCTCCTTACCAATTCCAAGTCTACGGTAGGGTGCTAGACAGCCAAGTGTCATGATGTACAGTCTCTTTTGGTTCTGAGAGTGGTCCACTCTGCAGCACACAGCTCCGACTGCAATGTCATTGAAGTATGCTGGAAGACACAAACAATAGGTAGTGTTGAAACAACTTCATCAAACGAAATTCTCACTTCCCCCACACCTAAGAAGCAGTGATTGCTAAACTGCGGACAGAAAATGTTGCAACAAAATCTGATTAGGACTACTTCTCTACCCCATGTATGGAGACCAAGCCGTTAAAAAAAAATACCTCTCACACAATCCCTTCTAATAACTCACTGTCACCACAAAAAGTAATAAATAAGCTTCCTTCTTCTTTTTTTTTTTTTTTGACGAAAAGTAATAAAGTTATATGTTGAGAAAGTAACATGGGAGGTATCTCTTACCTAGCTTTGCAAGCTCTCCGACTTCCAGTACATCTTTGTAAAACTTGTCATTGTAGCTGACAGGGAAGATGACCTGGTTCAGGCGCTTCAGCTGTTTAATGTTGTGGGGCGTAACGTCCCCCAGCTCGATCCGGCTACTGGAACAAGAGCAAAACGGTCAAATAACTGACAACGGGTGCACCAATACATTTAAAACTGTTTGACTAAAAATAATGCAAAGATCAACAGTACAGGAGTAAAAATGATAACAGAAGGCTTCAGTGTCTTGAAATCTTTCTTTTGACAACCGATTAATAATTAACTAGATACTTCAGACTAAAATTCTGAATATGCCGAGTGCTAGTTTCACAAATGTGAGGATTATCTGCTTTTGTTTTCTGTGACACCACTATCACCAGAGTATAATCCACTGACATTCACATCAGAATAGGCGCCTGACCCACAAATGTCACAGAGCAGTGGGATGCCATATATTATGTTCTAGCACAAAACACAACTACTTGAAGTTGCATTTACAGCACACCAAGAAATGCAGGAACTCATGATTTTAAGACTCTTGAATTTTATTTAGTAAGAAATGCAAGTAGTAAATGCTAAAATCAAGAGTTCCAGTTGAAATAAGTTCAAGATAACCTGGGGACAAGACCGGATCTGTGTCTTAGTGAGTGACCCAAACACAACACTCCATATTGCCTTCTTAAAGGGGTTCACTGTGGTATTTATAGGACTACACATCCAAAAACAGCTGCTGGTCACGTGTGTTGTTAATCAGGATGTACAGTAACGTCTGTAAAACCCTGTCTGAACAATTGTCACGGTTCGGCGTTAATCGCCCTCATGACATCTGATAATGTGGCCACAGATATGTTAGTTAAAACTGAAGCATCACTGCCAGTGTGTTACTATGACAGATCAAGTTACACTTAGCAAGCTGACACAAACTCTGAAGTTGATGTAACGATTGAGCGGCAACTTTTCGACATACATAAGCAGACTGTGTCTGCAACTTCTTTAATATCTCATTTAACTGATTTCACTACCTTTACGTAGCTGACACAACACAAAAATCACCAGAGGTCCGGGGTCTGCCTACTTAGCTTAGCTAAACTGGGTTTACTGACTCAGCTTCCTACTAGCGGCTAGCTACTTAGCGTAGCTTGTTCGCGACCGAAGCGAACCGACAAGCGGCTTAAGTTAACGAGAGCATCCGTGACATGACTATTTCACTGACAGCGTTGTTCTTTATATTTCTGCCCTAAACCTAAATAAAAAGTAGCTTAGCAAGCTAGCTAGCCTCGCCGTCTCCTCCCCGCCTCCCCTCGTAGAAAAAAACAGACATGAAAAACTTTACTCGTGCTAAGCTACGTATTCGTGACCCAAAAGCTTACACTCACCCTTTCATGTTAAACAGATATTATCCCTTATTTTCGATGAGGCTGAACTTTAGAGTTGTTTTGGGTAGAAAGTAGGAATTTTGACAGAGTTAGGGTCGGGGATGCCTCCCGTTTTACCCTCCACATGTAGCTAGCTGCGATGGTTGCAGTTAGCTTAGCCGCCACACTCCTTCCACGACTGTGTGGAGACTGTCAACCCTGACCCCCGCATGCGCACAAGCACTGCTGCGCATCGGCGGAGATGTATTCACCTGAGTTTGGACTGTCAGGCTGCAAGATGTTCACAGAAAGATAATCAAATACTAGTTAAAGTGTGTTATACACTGTGTAGTAGCTGTTACAGTTGAATACATTTGATTTAACGTTATCTACGGTCATGAATGGGATTAAGACTTCAATGCACCGACAAAGAAGAAAAACCCGTGAGTCCTCAATCAGGGTAGCAAACTTTCATATAAAATTATAAGCGCTTTCGTTTTTGGAACAGTTTTGGTTTGTAGTTTTTAAAAAGTGAAAAATGCAGATAATGATTGTACTGTAAAAACAAAATTATCAAACATAAAGCAAGCTCCGCATACAGAGCCAAACCCCATTGTTTTCTCTTTTGCAGAGGTACTTGTAAATTATTGTATGTATATATAATTTATTCCAGGTAACGTAGACATTTCGAAAATATTTTAAGACAGAAAAAAATGGATGATTACTAAATAATTAAAAGTTACTTGTGAAATCACCGCCATTTTGGTTCAACAGCTGCTGCAAAGATCATTACCAGCAGTAGAGATAGGCTTTACATAGTCTTGCTGAGCCCACATATTGTGTATGTAACACATCAAATTGCTTTCCAGTAGAAAAAAATAAGGCCTAAGAAGTTCATATGCTAAGGTTTGGACACTGCAGTGTTGTTTAGGAAGGGGACTTACCTGATGAATTTAAATATGAACGTTAAAAACCTAACAAAATAATATAAAATGCAGTGATTATAATAAAGTGAAGAGCCTGAAGTATTATTTATTTTGGAGATTACCCTGGCTAATTTGGAAGTAAAGCTATAAT